TGCAATAAAGATGATTGGAGGAAACATCTCTGTTGCAGTTGATATACTGGAGACCAGAACAAAAGCAACGTTTAACATCAAAACCAACCATCTGAACTATTAGCATTGTTGCTTTACTCTTTTTTCGTGGTTGAGTCTCCTTCAAAAAATTTAGTTTGATTTAAGAAAATTTTGCTTCTACAATCCTGTCTTGCCACCAACGCGTTCAGTAGATGGAGATGGCAGAGGCGAAGGCTATTTTTGTGTTGTTGTTGCTGGTTTAGGGATCGGTTTGTGAAGAAGAGGGAGAAGAGAGGGGGAAAGGGAAATGCAGGAGAGGGGGATAACTCTTTTCTCCGACAAAATGGAGTGAAGAAAGGAATTATGATCAGTAAGGATATGGTTATCTTACATAACGGTCTCTATTCTGTTTGAATTGAGCTTGGAAGGCAGTGATAAGGACGAGCTGCAACCAATTCATAGTGAGAAGAGAGCTATGAATTGTGATCATGTCTTATTTCAAGTTAGAAGGTAGTTTCAGTATAAGGATTATTTAATTTGACAAGTTGTTTCATCCATGATTCTTGGTAGTTTCAGTGCCATTCTAGCCATTGTTTAGTCTGTAATTTTTGAGAATTGATGTGCGAGTAATGACTTTCACTTAGCTTCAACTATTATGTGTGTATTTATTGGCATGTGATAGAATGAAGCCATCATTAGCTTCACTTAGCTTCAAATCATGCTCGAGATGACAACTCGCTGATATGGCTGGTGCAAGGAATGAAGCCATCATTAGAATTCAGACCGACAACGGGGAGGGATGCCCAGGACTAATTCAATGATGATTGATGATGGTATAATAAAAACTGCAGTCTGCATCAGCACCAATTTCTAGGCCTAAGTAAAGTTATTCAACCAAGAACTCTACTTAGCGCTAAAAATTGCGCTCACCCAACCTTGATCCTGTTTGACCCACTTCTGAAGAGTCAAGATATATGACTAATCCTCCCCGTTCGTATTTTCTTATTGACTCTTTCTGACCCTTTAGGTTGGGGCGGGTCGGGAAGAATCGGATTAGTGGGTCGGTCCTAATCAAGTGGAATCTCAATCCCTTCACTCTCACTTGCTTTCTCTCCCATTCCACAAGTGGGTAACATACAGTAATCCGGCCAATGGGCCGGGTCATAAGCTAGTTTCTTAAAAAAGAGGAAGGTTAAAATAGAAAATTAACGGCAATGGTTTCATGTTCTTTCATCAATTGGTTATTTCTCTCCGTTCGTATCTCTTTTTCCAAGAAAAATGAGTCGTTCGAATTTTTTGTTGAAACCAAATATCTCAATTTTAATTTTCATTGGAAAACGAGTAATTTGGATCATTTCTATCTTTCATTTCCTAAAAGCAATGGTTCCATGAAGCCAAAATAGCTCATAGAAGGTAAGGTAGGTAATGTGTCTTCCATATGGCAGTTTATCGATGTAATTTTTTGACAATTTTTTACTGTAGAGATATTGAAAGTCATCATCAAGACTCGATCCTGCGACCACGAAAGTCAAGAAAAAGCTAAGTAGATTGACGTCGTTTAGATGAAGTTATCAATCCTCAAGTTTAGTTTTATTATCAACGTCTAGGTTTAGATGTTAGTCCAGTTATGTTTTTATCTTTGTAGTTGTTTTCCATATGCAAGGTCACACACCTTGTCTAGTTTGTAGTAGGGGTGGTAATCGATCGGTAATCGGTTAAACCGGTTATCATTTGACCGGTTACCGGTATACTGGAAATCCCATTATCATTGTCGTTTGTCGATACTGAGTATATTTCAGTAAACCGATTACCGATTGGGACAATATTGATTTTTGCGTCGGTATCCCGATTTATCGCAAAGTAATTTTGGTATACGAAAGGCAGAGCTATCCTTCCGCCCCCTCCGCTGCCAAAGACCTCTTCGACTTCCAATCCTCCAACCTCCAATACTCTGACCTCTTCGACTTCCATCACGATATACCTTCCTCAAGCCCTCAATCTCTGGGCCTGCAACCATGACCTCAACCTCTTTGCAAGTTTTGCATGGTGGATTTGGGGGTGCGGGGGATTTTTTGGGCTGAAGTGGATGTCGGAGTTCTTGAAGATATGAAGGAGATTAGATTTTTCGGGGAGATAAATCTAGTGAAGGAGATAAATTTGGCATTTCCGTCACTGCCGTCTTCGGAGAGATAAATCGGGGAGGTAAATCGCAGTCAATCGGGGAGAGATATCTCGCATCACAGTCATCGCCATCATCGTCTACCTGATCTCTAGCTTCGACATCAGTCTGCGCTCCCACCACTGCTACATGTCGCCGCCGTGTTCCTAATCGCATGCAGAATGAGGCAAATCAGACAATGACAACAGAGAGCTAGAGGATGGGGGAGGAATCAACCGACAGTGAATTTTGAAGACTGGTTTCAATCGCCTTCGACCAGCAGCCAGCGGCGGCACACTAATTTGGTGGTGAGTGGTGACTGGTTCGTGGTGGAAGGACTGTTGGACTAGTGTGGTGGATTGATGAGAAGAGGCGGAGAGAATCGAATATGGAGAGATAGACTTCACGCGGCGTGAGGCACGGGAAGAAGAGAACGAAATAATATTTAGGGCTGCGTGGATTTCGCTAACCCGGTATACTGGAATACCGATGGTATTATACCGGGAATGGAACAGTATACCGTTTGGATAAAATTGGCTACCGTATACCGGTACCGCCGGTTATCGGTTTTATCGTTAACCGTCGCTTACCGGTTCTGTAAACGTTTAATATAATAACCGTTAAACTGATTACCAGCCCTAGTTTGTAGTACCATCCTCTACCTATTTTAACCAAACTGATTACCACGCCCTCATTCTAACCACCGCCCAAGAAAAATAAGGGCATTGTCCCATTTCATCTAGCCGGATCCGTGAACATTTCACTTGTTCTTGATACCATCACTAGTTGGTCCATTTCCTTTTATCATTTTTCACTGGTTAAATTATACGTTTGGTCACTCAAATTGTACAAATCTTTCACGTTTACCACCCGAATTACTTTTCTTTCTTATTCGCCACTAACTTTACGAATCGTTTCACCGTTAGTCACCGCCCGTTACACTCCGTTAAATTTGTCCTATGTGGCAAACAACTATAAAGTTTGACCGTTAACTAGATGACATGGAAATTAAAGAATTAAATGTGTTTTTCCAGCTCATCATTCCACTTACTTTATCTATATGATTTATCATATTAACTATTTAATAAAAATTAATTAACTTAAAAAAGTTAATTATTAGTAACGTTGAGGAGGAGGATCATCCCGTCTGCGACTGTGATCGACAATATCCACAAACAGGAACATGTCCCCTTTGAGAGGTACATGAATCTCTTGGCAGAGCTTCGATCGGGAGTGCGCGACTCGACGAGCAGCAGAGGATTCGAAAGAAGAGGCAGTGGAGAAGAGCGTTGGATGGGAACCCGAAGTACCCAACAACAACTCCATCGGGAGGGACCACCGCGCTCCGATTGTCGGCGAAGAAGCTAGATGAAAGGGGAACGAGTTCGATGACGCTGACGAAAGCCATGACAGACGAATTGGGGGAGTGGGGGATGAAGCGGATTCTGAGCCAGTCGCGTGAAGCGGATAGGTAGAACTCGGAGATGAGCGGGTTATCGGCGGTGGAATCCGCTTGCAAGGGGCAGGGCGTTGCAAGAAACTGGGTTCAAGCTTGCACCAATTTCTATGGAGGCGGCGATTTCAAAATGTTTAATATGATAAATCATATAGATAAAGTAAGTGGAATGATGATGTGGAAAAACAAATTTAATTTTTTTAATTTCCACGTCATCTAGTTAACGGTCAAACTTTATAGTTGACTGCCACATAGGAAAATTTTAACGGAGTGTAACGACCGGTGACTAACGGTGAAACAATTCGAAAAGTTTGTGGCGAACAATTTCAAATTCATATCATCACCAAAACATATAATAAATCATTCAAACCGTCTCACAAAAGAAATCATAATTTTTTTAATTCAAATTAAATTACGGTGCTAATTGGTAGTAGACAACGTAAAGCGACAATCAGGTTGGAGAATGAGAAGAGGAAGCAGAGATAAAATTAATAATTATGGTTTGATGGTCTTAGTTTACGTCAATTTTTTTTAATATTTTTTTTGCTAAAATAGTGAACCAGTGGACCAGATAAACCGTGGTGGTTCATCTGGTTTTATGTTGAGCCGTGAAAACCCATTTGGTCCATCAATAACCGTCCAAGCAATGAACCAGACCGTTATCATCACTGCTTTGGCGATTCTACTGGTACGACCGTTGATTTGGTTCGGTTCTTATAACAATGCTTTCATCTTTGTATTTCGACTCCACAATCTCATCCCAAACCTGCAGAACTAAAATCTAAATCTAAAATGAACAATAAAATTAAACTTAGCAATTGATAATTTTCTTTAAACAATGTCGATCCACTTACTTTTTCCTTGAATTTTGTTGTAATGTAACTCATTTCTAGATGCCTCGTAAGATGACACATTTTGCAGAGCAGAGTCTATCAAATACTGATGACAATTTGAACACGTTCCGGGTATATTACTCGAACTGACCCGCCCTGTTCTTGGCCAACTTTACCTCAAATAATTATATCTATTCATATTTATCATATTTTGACTTTTTTCCAACTAGTTAGACTTCATTACCCGTTTTGTTATCACTATTTCCATTCGTAAAATCTTTTCCCCATTGTGTTGATGGAAAAAGTAAAAAATTTCGTGTATTTTTTCTTATAACATATAGGAGTGAGTTGACCCACCCCACAATAGCATGAGACGTAACATAAATAGTGAGGTATCCGTCCCACCCATTGGCATCACTACTAATCTACTATCATTCATTCTAGCACAACCCAAATGCAAATCCCGAAGTTCAAGCTAAAAAGAAGTTCGAGTTTGAGCCCATTTATTTGGGACCAGGCCCGCAAATTCTCTCACCGAACTGGACTTATGTATCTCCGTGGCTTTAATCACCCCCTCCGCACCGCAGCCGCAGAAGCTCAAACAATAAAGAAAAACGAAAATTTACCTTTCCCACATTTTCCTTTCCAATTCCCATCCAAGCCAAACACCCCCTCTAGCCCAGCCTCTCCCTCAGCTTCTTCCTATCGCTCTCGCTCTTCTATCTGCGTGTTAATCTGCAAACTCTCCGTTTTCGATTTTGCTTCCTTCGCGGTTTCTCCCGTGTTGGTCTGCGCGCGCTCCGGCAAGCAATCAGCTATGTTCTCCGGTTTGGATTGCTAGGATTTCTTCCTCCCGATTGATAAAAGAGGCGTTCGATAGTCATTGGAAAATGAACTCCGCCGCGAACGGAGATGGCGAATTGGATGAAAAGCCGATTAATATGGAAGAGGACGAACGGCGGGAAGAAGCAGGAGCGGCGGGTAGGGTTTCGGAAACGGACGGTGCGGCCGGAGCATCGGGCACGGAGGATAGTGCTAGGGTTTTAGAGGGCGAAGGATCTGAGCTTCGAGTTCGTGGTGGGGTAGACAGTGAAATGGTGCAAGAGTCTAGGGTTTTAGAGGTGAAGAACGAGAGAAATGAGGGGTTGAATGACGACTCGGGCGCTCCAGACGATTCAGAGGTGGACGACGAGGAGGAGGAGGAAGAAGAAGAAGATCAGCAGACGGAGAATTCATCGGCCGGCGAGGGGAAAGGTGAGGTTTACACGTCCTTGTTGTCTGAATTCGAAGCTTTCGTTGCTAATGAGAAGAATGGCGCCATGCTTGGGACGTCTAGGGCACTGAGTTTCGGATTCGATGTTGGTGATATGGTGTGGGGGAAAGTGAAGTCGCATCCATGGTGGCCAGGCCACATTTTCAATGAAGCTTTTGCAACTTCCTCTGTACGCCGCACGAGGAGGGAAGGCCATGTTCTCGTTGCATTCTTTGGGGATAGCAGCTATGGCTGGTTCGATCCAGCTGAGCTCATCCCGTTTGAGCCTCATTTGGCTGAGAAATCGCAGCAAACAAGCTCAAGAACCTTTACAAAAGCAGTAGAAGAGGCGGTAGATGAGGCGAGTCGTAGGTGTGGGCTTGCTCTGGTTTGTAGGTGTAGAAATAAGTGTAATTTTAGGTCAACCAACATTTCGGGTTATTTTGAAGTTGATGTACCAGACTATGAGGCAAATGCAGTGTACTCTGCAGCTCAGATTCAGAAGGCAAGAGATGGGTTTAAGCCGAGCGTTACACTTGCCTTCCTCAAGAGATTGGCTCGTGATCCAGTTGGTGGTGATCCACTATCTATTGATTACATTGGCAACAAAGCTACTGCTGTCTCTTTGAGGAGAACCTTGTTTGAAGAGTTTGATGAGACATATGGGCAGGCATTTGGAGCTCCGCATGCTCGGGGTTCTGATGAAGCGCGCAAAGTATTGGATCATCCTGTTAAAGGGCGAACTCGGGGTATTATTTCTATTTCACTTCATGTCTATTGCAAGAGTTTTGGTTATGTATCAGGGATGAATGCTTATACTGTAAGTGATACTTGCAGGATGTTTCATTTGCTTCTCTGTTTTGCGATGCATTATTCTATTGATATTTTCTTCTTTGCTAAAGCTGTCATCGCTTTGTACAATTATCTGCACTTTGCTGTTAGATTGTGTTGGTGCTTCTATTAGTGATGAATGTATTTGGCTCATATGTGAAAGTTTGCCCGGCTGAAACTTTTCTTGATGCTTGATCTATGTGTGAATTACTCATAAATGGTAGAATGCATACTTGCTCAAGTAAGAAGCAATAGGAGGGAGACAACAGGATATGAAACTGAGAAAGTTCAAGCTACTTTGCTGTATGTGAATTATCTTTCTGGTTTTATCTCATTGTTTTCTCCTTCTCCAGCTCCTTTGAGCGGTCCACTGGTGATAGCTGAAGCTCTAAGTGGTGGAAATAAGAGTTCCAAAAAGCATATGAAAGTCAAGGACCATTCCAAAAAAGATAAGTATCTCTTCAAGCGTAGAGATGAACCGAGTGAATCGAGAACCCATCCAATTGGTCAAATGGAAGCAACCCCTTCAGTCCCAGCAGCCTATGTAGAGGGGACTTCAGTTGTAGAAGCCAGTGATTTCGTGTTACAGAAAAGAGCACCGCCGCAATCATCATCTGCTCCTGAACTTGAAGCACAGGTGAATACTAGCAACGAAAATCGGCTTGCCAGTGAAGATGCTTCTGTGAAAGAAGCAGCCATGTCCGACCATGTTTCGGAAAACCTCGATGCCCAAGGTACGAGAAGTTTGACATTTTGACTTTCAGAAGCATACTTGTTAACCTTTGTTTACAAAGCGAGTGCATATTGTGTCCTGATGCAATTCTACCCTATAGCTACTGCAGGTCTGCCCGGTTCGCATGGTTCATCATCATCTTCCCAGCAAGTAGCCGAGGCTGTGATGGAAATCAAGTATGAAGAGACCACTAAAGCATTAGGCCCCACTGATAGTGCTCAGGATTCTCCGGGAGAGGTGAAGCCTCCTGTTGGGGCTAGCATCGAGGGGAAAGTGAAGAAGAAGAAGGCCAAAATTCTCAAACGTCCTCTTCCGGATGGAAGCTCTGAAGAAACTATTATGGTAGTGAAAAAGAAGAAGAAGAAAGACACCGGTTCAGAGACTGCCACTGAACCTCTCAAGAAAGCTTTCTCCAATGAAAAGAAGATGAAAAAACCTACAGGGAAAAAATCTGGCCTTATCAGTTTGCCTCCCAAGGATGATTCTCGAGTAAACAATCCCAATGAGGTTGAGCTTCCACAACTACTAAAGGGTTTGCATACCTTGGCTATCAACCCCTTCCATGGCGCACAGATCACTCGATCAGCAGCCGCTCTACAGTTTTTCCTACGATTCAGATCTCTGGTCTATCAGAAAAGCTTGGCCGTCTCCCCTCCACAGTCCGAGACCGAGCCTTCCGTCGAAGCTCCACCTCGTGCTTCGAAATCTGTGGGGACCACCAGTGCAGATGGTTCTTCTCAGCAACGTGTCAAGTTGAGACCTGAAGATCCAGCGAAATCCGGAAGAAAACGGCTGCCGAGCGATCGCCAGGAGGAAATGGCTGCGAAGAAGTCGCAGAAGGTGGGTCAGATAAAGTCCATGGCAGCAGCTGCCGCAGAGAAGAAAACTGGTGGTGGTGGTGGTCAGCAGAGATCCTGGGAAAGTCAGCGACCACCACCAGAAGGAAAGTCAGCGAAGGCTACGGCACCAGTCGTCGAGCCGACCATGCTGGTGATGAAGTTCCCACCGCGGACGAATCTCCCATCTGTCGCCGAGCTCAAGGCCAGGTTCGCCCGGTTCGGGTCAATAGATCCATCAGCGATCCGCGTGTTCTGGAAGTCTTCGACGTGTCGGGTGGTGTTCCGGTACAGGCAAGATGCAGAGGCGGCACTCAAGTATGCTAACAGAAACAGCTACTTGTTCGGAAATGTCGACGTCAAGTACAGTCTCCGTGACGTGCTGGGGGCCGAAGGCGGAGGTCCTGAATCCGAGAAGGATGTTGTCGTTGAGCGGCAGCCGCTGTACCAGCCTGTTCTGCGGCAGTCCAACGTGCAGCTGAAGTCCATACTGAAGAAATCCAACGGCGACGAACCGGCCGGAGGGGGGCAAGGCAACGCGGGTGGCGGTGGGAACGGGAATGGCGGGAGAGGAACGCCGCGCGTGAAGTTCATGTTGGGGGGAGAAGATAACATTGGTGGCCGGAGCGAGCCTCAGCCGGCGGCGGTGATGGGTGGTGGTAGTAGCAGTAGAAACAACTTCAACAACAGCAACCATGCTATCAATACTACTACTAGTGTTGCAATGGATGTTAATAGTAAGAGCTTTCATCAAAAGGCTATTCTTCCTCTTCCTCCATCTACATCGCCTCCTTTACTCCCTCTCCCACCTCAATTTGCGAAAGATCCATCCATTATTAGCACTAGCTCTGGCAATAGTACTAGTAGTAGTAATTTGCAAGAGAGTGAAGCAGTAGTAGTTGACAGGAACTTGCATCGTCAGAATGCCAATAATGCTCCTCCTTCTGGGCCGGTGGAGGCTGTCGGGCTGCGGCCGCCGCCGCGACGACAGGGTGTAGATATATCGCAGCAGATGCTGAGCCTTTTGGAGAGGTGCAATGAGGTGGTGGTCGGGGTTACTGGGGTGCTCGGCTACGTGCCTTATCATCCACTTTGAAGAGAAATTTGCACTTCGGCTGGACGGTTGTTAGTAGTATCATCAATGGTGAGATGTAGTTTTTCGGTTTCGTTTTCTTTTTTTTATTTTTCAGTTTCTTGTTTTTGCTAGTTAGGGGGAGGAGGGTGCTTTTCTTATATTTGTTCTGGGAAGGTAGGAGGGTTGATATATGTCTGTTTCAAGATGTGTATGTAAACGCCATTGTGAATGGCCACTTCCACTCTCATTTGCACCTTTGGTTTCTTGGTTTGGGTGGCTTAAAAGATTCTTGTTTAATTTCTGTTTAAGCTTTTTCTTGGTTCATTGGCCATCGGTACAAATCGATACCGTAAGTAAGTACTATATTGCGCACACTAGAGATATATTGTGGACACTAGTAACGACTAACGATAGAGTCAACAAGGAGGTAAAATGGTTCGAGAATCTAAAAAATTCCGAGTAGGGTGGCCATGGTCGGGCCCAATTCGAAATTGGATCAATGGATGAAAATTGAAAATGAGAAATGTGAAGAGAAATTGGAAGTGGTTTAGTTAAGAATTTGGTTTAGTAGTTTTATCATTGATTTTCAATAAGGCTAATCAACTCAAAACCTTCTTATGTGAGATCGGATAGGGTGTTAACCTCCTTAGTATTAACACCCTATTAACAATTAATATAAAGATATATTGGTAACTGTTTCTTTTCCTCTCGTCCGTCCCCCGTCGTTGAGGATTACTTCACCAACCGATGCACTAGTCGTGATGTTGAGCTTCTGTGACACTATTCTTTCTCCGTCACCTCCTGCCTTTTCCATGCCCCGCTCGGTTGTAATTATATATACTGCTTTGTCAGAAATCTTCCTTGGGTACTTTTAATTCTATTTAGGCCGACACTACGGTGTCGCTATGAAAAAATTTAGCGAGTAAGATGTCCATGGTCCACATGTTAAACGGAGTTCTCGTATTACCTTACCAAAAAACAAAAGTTCAGGGACCAATTCTGTAATTGAGCCTAATTGAACTCCCTTCAATCATAAAACGTCGGCCGTGTCCAGGCATTTCTTACGCGGTTCGCGGGAACCACACCTTCATGGAACCTCAACCTGACGACAAGCTTCTGACTTAGCCTGCACCTTACTCCATCGGCTGGGCCGCAAGTCTGCAACTAAAACCTCCAGCAGACGCTGTCCCAAATCCGGACACCTTTCTCTTCATTTCCATATTGCCCTCCACACCGGGTGGTTACCCCCTGGTTGCTCCTCGTCATTCGTAAGTGAGTATTCAGACTTAAGGTTGAAACGACCATTCGGTGAATAGCGCCATATTGGAGTATCCTCCTGCATATTCTGTGGCACTGGGTGCAGTCTGACTTGTTCGATTACGTTGACTGGGAGAAAGACTCTGAGAAAAAAGATCACATTACCTGCTCTATACCATAAGAAAGGGCAGCTTGAATCGGAGAACGGAAGGTCTGCCTAGTCTTAGCGTTAGCAGAATTCTGACCTCCCCAATCACGACCCTGCTCGCCCTCCCCGTCGTCGAGGCCCGCTCCTCCTCCCCTGAAAACCCCCAATATCTCTCCGACCTCCCCATTCACAACCCTGCTCGCCATCCCCGCCGTCGAGGCCCGCTCCTCCTCCCCTGAAACCCCCCAATCTCTCTCCGACCTCCCCAATCACGACCCTCCTCGCCGCTGCTCGCTCTCCACGCTGCCGAGGCCTGCTCCTCCTCCCCTTGCGCTCTTCCCTCCGCCAGCTTCTTTGTTTCTTCCTCTACCTTCCATTGAAACCAAGAAAACCCCCAATCTCTCTCCGACCTCCCCAATAACAATCCTGCTCGCCGCTGCTCGCCCTCCCCATCGCCGAGGCCCGCTCCTCCCTCCGCCAGCTTCGCTGTTTCTTCCTCTACCTTCCATTGAAACCAAGAAAACCCCCAAATCCAATTACCCAATCGAAGAAACAGCTGGTCAGTTTCAATTTCAATTTCAATTTCACTTTCACTTTCACTTTGTTAGAGCCTCTGTCAATCGAAGAAGCAGCTGGTGGGTTGAAATTTCACTTTATTAGTCGATCCATTCCATCATCTTCTCCAGCAAATCCCAAAATTTTTCTCTCCCCGAAACAAATTCCGAAGCTCTCTGTCGTTTTTCTGGTTGGCTTTTGGCAGGCCATTTTTTTTCCTCTCCCTGAATCTTTTCATTCTCTCTGTTCTCTGTCACCATGTCTGGTAGTTCCACCATTGACAACACTGCTACTTCTGCTGAGGTTCCCGCCGTCATCACGTTCAACCCGGCGGCTCAGCTTCCCCTGAAGCTCACCTCCACCAACTTCGCCTCATGGCGCTCGCAGTTAGACACGCTGCTCATGGGTCTCGATCTCTTTGGCTATATCGACGGTACCACCGTCGCTCCTCCTCGCACAATTCAAGTTGACTCTGTCGAGATGCCCAATCCCCAATATCAGCACTGGTTCAGGCAAGACAAGCTCATCCTCCACGCCTTGCGCTGCTCGATCTCCGAATCAATTTACTCATTTGTATCTGCTGCTTCTACCTCGCGGGCTGCGTGGTTAATACTTGAAAAGCTCTATGCGAGCAATGCGCAGTCCCGCGTCATTCACTTGAAAGGGAAATTGGCTAAAACTTCAAAGGGCGACCGGGATGTGTTGACATTTGTGAATGATCTCAAGAGCACAGCTGAAGAACTCGCCCTCATCGGGAAGCCTGTCTCCGACATTGATCTTGTCGTCTATTGTCTTCGCGGCTTGGGTGAGGAATACGCTGCCTTTGCTGCTGCTATTCGTGCTCGGGGACCTGGCCTCTGCCTCGAAGATTTGGTTGATTCGTTGGTCGAGTATGAGGCCGATCTCAAGGCCTGTGTCCGCCAGTCCGTTCCGACGGCTTATTATTCTCAGGGACAGCGCATCTTCAACGGTGGCGGCGCGTCCTCTGGTGGTCCTTCCCACTCTCGTCCGCGAGGGTTTTCCTCACCGCGGGCTTCTTCTCCGCGTCCTGCAGCAGGTGGACAGCGGGCTTCTGGCCCATTTCCCCCCACTAATTATGGGCCGCCTCCTGCTTCCTCTGTCCCTCGCAGGCCCACTGTTGTATGCCAATATTGTGAGCGCCCGGGGCACTCAGTCCGCCAGTGTTTCAGGCTTTTTCCTCAGGCTCGTCAAGAGTTCCAAGCCCGTCAAGCCCAGGCCCATCACACGTCTGCTCCTCGTGCTTCGTCCTCTAGCCCCTGGCTCCTTGACTCTGCCGCCTCCCATCATGTTACCTCCGACTTGGGCAATTTATCCCTTTATTCCGATTACTCTGGTCCGGATGAGATAATTGTTGGCGACGGCACAGGTTTGAAAATATCTCACATTGGGTCCACTACGTTGCACCATTCCACGTCTTCCTTTCAATTAAATGATGTGCTCTGTGCTCCGGCTATAAAGCGTAAACTTGTCTCTGTTGCCCAACTATGTCGTACTAATCCCATTTCGGTGGAATTTTTTGCTGATTGTTTTGTTGTGAAGGATCTTCGCACGGGGGCGCCGTTAATGAAGGGGGCAAATAATGGGGATGTCTATGAGCTGCCTCGTGATGTGGACACTGTTCGTCTTGCGCTCGTCACCACGTGCACATCCTCCGCGTCCTGGCACGCTCGGCTTGGTCATCCCTCTTCCTCTTCCCTCACCAGTCTGCTTCGCACACATTCTTTGCCAGTAGCATCCTCTCCCGTCAGTAGTCATTGTCCCTCGTGTCTTGCCAATAAAAGTCACAAGCTTCCATTTGCACATTCTTCGTTATCCAGTGCTCGTCCTTTTGATTTATTGTATACTGATGTTTGGGGACCGGCTCCGGTCACCTCCATTGATGGTTTTAGTTACTACTTAATCATCGTTGATCATTTTTCCCGTTATACTTGGTACTATCCCTTGAAACGCAAGTCTGATGTTCTTCACGTGTTTCTTGCTTTTCGGTCGATGGTTGAGAATTATTTTTCCACCACCATTCGTCGTCTCTACTCCGATGGTGGTGGTGAGTTTCAAAAGTTGTCTTCCACATTGCTCAAGCATGGCATCAGTCATCTTCTTACGCCACCTCACACTCCTGAGCATAATGGCTTGGCTGAGCGTAAGCATCGCCATCTTGTTGAGACGGGTATCACTCTTCTCCATCATGCTCGTTTACCCTCGATTTTTTGGTCATTTGCTTTTTCCACTGCCATCTACTTAATTAACCGTCTCCCTTCCTCTGCCTTGCGCGGGCAAATTCCATACACATCTCTTTTTAATCTTGCTCCTAATTATCATAAACTTCGTGTGTTTGGTTGCCTGTGTTATCCTTGGTTACGTCCTTACTCAAAACACAAACTTGAACCTCGTTCTCGTCCTTGCCTATTTATTGGTTACTGCCCACAACGTAGTGCCTATAGGTGCTTTGATCCCGACTCTCACCGCATATTTCACTCCCGTCATGTTCGTTTTGTCGAGACCTCTTTTCCTGGTTACACGTCTAATACTTCTGCAGATTCCCTCACTGTTGAGTCTTGGATTATGGATCTCGGCCCCAACATTGTCCACCTCCCACTTCATGGGCCACAGCCCACATTGGCATCCCAGCTCCCTTCTCCTTCCGGCCCCCCCCCCCCCGTGCGTCGCCTCCTTCCAGCACTTCATCCCCGTCTGGGCCGCCCTCAGCTCCTGGGCCCGCGCCTCTCTCTTCCGCCGACCGAGGCCCGCCATCTGGGCCCGCGCCCCTCTCTTCAGCCGCCCAAGGCCCGACAGCTGGGTCCGTCCCTTCCTCTTCAGCCGACCGAGGCCCGCCCGACAGGCCCCTGCCTTCCTCTTCAGCCGACCGAGGCCCATCTTCTGCTTCTGGGCCGTCCCTTCCTGCTGGGCCCGTGCCTCTTCCTTCCACCGCCACGGCCTTGTCTCCTGGGCCCCACCAGCCGGCTGGGCTTGAGATATCCTCGCCCAGCCCATCTACCGTACAGCCAGCTGATCCTCCTCCCCTTATTCGCACACATAAGATGACCACAAGGGCCCAGCATGGCATCTACAAGCCCAAGCGGCTTTTCACAGTGGACTTCACTACCCGCTCCCCTCCACTTCAACCACGCTCTGTTCGTGAGGCCATGCAATACTCAGAATGGGATGCGGCCCTGCGCAAGGAGCACTCCGCTTTGCTCCATAATCATACATGGGATCTTGTTCCTCGGCAACCTCACTTCAATGTCCTCGGCAATAAATGGGTGTATCGCATCAAGCATCACTCTGATGGTTCCCTCAATCTCTTCAAGTGTCGGCTGGTTGCGAAAGGCTTTCATCATCGTCCGGGTATTGACTTCACGGACACCTTCAGTCCTGTGGTCAAACCGGTCACCGTTCGCACTATTTTCACCATTGCCCTATCTCATCACTGGCCGATCAAGCAGTTCGACGTCAACAATGCCTTTCTCCAAGGGCCGCTGGAAGATGAGGTGTATATGGTTCAGCCTCCCGGCTTTGTCGATCCCGATCGTCCCACTCATGTATGCCGTCTTCGCCGAGCAATTTATGGCCTCCGCCAAGCTCCTCGTGCATGGTACACTGCCCTCAGCTCTTTTCTTGTTGAGTTTGGCTTCCGGAAGTCTCAATCCGATGAATCTCTATTTGTTTATCATCGCTCTGGGGTTACACTTTATTTCCTGGTCTATGTGGACGATCTCTTGCTCACTGGGAATGATCCAGCTACTCTCACGGCATTTCAACTGGCGCTGGCTACCAAGTTCTCCCTCAAGGAACTAGGTGATGTGAACTACTTTTTGGGCATTGAGATCATTCCTACCGCCTCCGGCTATGTTCTCTCTCAACATCGCTACATGATTGATATACTCACCCGGTTTCATATGCTGGATGCCTCTCCCGTTTCTACTCCGCTCGCCTCCTCTGTGCAGCTCACTCTCTCTGATGGCACTCCGCCCACTGATGCCACTCGATACCGACAGGTTCTAGGGGCGCTGCAATATCTTGTCTACACTCGTCCTGACATAGCCTACTCGGTCAACAAACTATCGCAGTACATGCATGCTCCCACCATAACTCACTGGCAATGTCTTAAGCGTCTCCTCCGCTACATTTGTGGGACCCTATCCTATGGCCTGGCTATTCGGCGCACCACTACCCCTCTCCGTATCACTGCATTTGCTGACTCCGACTGGGCTGGTGACAGGGATGATCGGACTTCCACCTCTGCTTATCTTGTCTACTTGGGTTCAAGCAGATGAACCCCCCAGGTTTGGTCTCGCTCCGCCATCACTTAAGCGGTGTGTACTGTGTGGGGATGTTCCTGTGTAATAAAAAAACTATGTTATAATATCACCAACTTGAACCCTTTGTTCATCCATATCTCTCAAACTTTATAATTATTTCAGAGATCTCACATCTTACTCATTTTCTTACAGTTTTACTAACAATGCAACAAAGAAACTTCAATTAACATCGACATTATATAATAAAAAATTTAGACTATGTCAAGAAGTGTATATAAGATTGTTCGAGTATGGTGTAGGTTGGATTTCCCCAAACCATATACATATTGGTTTTGGTATGTCATATATCCATGCATGGTTTTGGCTATGTGGTTGGTTACAACTTTATAACCCTGATATGGGAATGGTATATAAAAAAAACCGATCTCACCAACGCATTGTCATTCCTAAGTAGAAGATGTGCTAGATCAAGTCATTGTCCGGACAATTTCTCTTAGCTAAAGACTAGTGACACTACCACCAACGGTGGATACAGAACAGGTTAAAGCAATAAGCCGCATTTAAAAAGCGATGGAGAGGACTGAGTCGTAACTCTATAAACATTAAAATATATATCCAAAATCAAACATTTACAAGTACTATACGAGCTTTGATCCGGAGAGAGCTGGGCTGTAACCCGGGGCAGCCCCTAGATCCGCCGCTGACTACCACCATATCAAGTCATGGTTGTTTTTTTTAGCTTACTCATATAGTCATATGTTTAGCTTAATTGTCCATTTTTTATGTTTTGCTTATTACTTATACAGTTATGTTAGACTGTTTTCGTATTTA